CCATTGCACCAGCTGTCCTCAGAAGACGGCCCACCAGGACCCACACGCTCTGCTGTTCACTCTTTTGGGTGGCCCTTCCCACTTTCATTCTGGGTGGCCCCATGCACCCAATAGGATGCAGTAGAAGTGAGGTGCCTGACTTTGGAGGCTAGGTCATAAGAAGCCTTGAGGCTCCACCTTATTCTTTTGGAACACTGCTCTGGGGTATGCCAATTGCCATCGAAGAAGTCTGACTAACGTTGAGACCACCATGATGTGAGGAAGCCCAAGCTAGGCATGTGGGAAGGCCTATGTAGAAGGAAAAGGTGCCCAGCCAGTGCCTGGTTGCTCCAGCCATCTCACCTGAGGCACCAGACGTGTGGGTGAAGACGCCATTTTGGACATCCAACCCGATCGAGCCTGGCGATGACCTCAGCCGCAGCTGCTTTCTGATTGCGACTGCACGAGACACCAAGTAAGAGCCACCTGGCTGAGCTCTGCCAACCCGCAGGACTATGAGAAGTAATGAAAAATTGTTGTTTTAAGGCTCTGAGTTCTGGGGTGGCTCATTCTACAGCAGTAGATAACTGAGTCAGAAATGCATAGTGGGCCGGGCATGGTGGCTCAAGCCTGTAATCCCAGCACTTTGGGAGGCCAGGGCAGGAGGATCGGGTGAGCCCAGAAGTTTGAGGTTGCAGTGAGGTACGACGATGCCACTGCACTCTAACCTGGGCAACAGAGTGAGACCCTGTCTCAAAAAAATAATAATAATAATAAAAATAAAAAAAGAAGTGAATAGTGAAGGGAGACCGACCAATACCGTCACCCAGACCACGGAGAGAGGGTGCCCCCCTCAGCTGGGCAGCCCTCCGCACTCTGGCCGGTCCCCCTCTCCCAGCTCAGTGGAGAGGAGAATAGTTTCTCTTTGTGTTTGGAGATGTGGCAACTGCCAAGTACCCTGCTGTCCCCAGGGCCCTTACAAAAGGACAGCAAGGGAGATTTTCTGGGAACTGGGTCACAAGCTACTTGGATGCTTCAAACCTGGCAGGACAGAGAGAAATCAGATAAAGGAGGCTGGGAACTTCACCGGAAGCTGCTAGGCCTGTCATGGGGAAGGAAACACCAGGGTTAGGAGGGGCTGCCCACCCTAACCTGACGCTTATCTTGACAGGGACCTTCTCTCTCTTTCAGATCTCTCTCTCCCTTCCCCACTTTGTAAATGTTTGCAAACCTTTCTTTGTAAACATTTTGCAAATTGCATATTAATATGTAGTCTATATATTAAAAGCAAACATCCCTCCCTTCCCACTCCCTGTTTAGTTCTCCAGAGGCAATCACTTAACATTTCTTTCACATTTCTTTAAGTAGAAAATCCAAGAAATGTGGTAAAAATTTCAAAAGGTACATAAAGGTAAAGAGAAAGAGTAAGTCCCCCTTCCTCCACCTTCACCCTTCAGCTCTTCTCCCCAAAGGCAACCCCTCTTACCAATTATTACATCTCCTTCCAGAGATATGCTATGCATATACAAATAGTAGCCTTAAAAACAGAAAGGGCAACATGCTGCAAGTACTGTTCTGCAACTTGCTTTTTCACTTACCAGTGTATGTCAGAGGTCTTCCATATCAGCATGCAAATAACCACTTTATTATTTTAGGAGGTGGCACGATATTCCTCTGCAGGGATGGACCATAATTCACTTAACCAGCCCCTACTGAGGGACATTGAGGTTGATATCAACCTTTTGATACTACAGTGAAGCAGATAACCTTGTACTCATATCTTCCTGCGCACATATGCCTCCATCTATAAGGATTCTTCAGTCAAAAGGTACGTGCTTTTATAATTTCGCTAGGTATTGACAAACTGAGGTGGTGCTGACGAATTCATACTTGTTTGCCAACTTCATACTCAAGTGCCCCTTTTCCTGCACCTTCCTCAATTCTATTTACATAAAAATCAATCTTTTTGATCTCCACTATGGAACTGGTAAGTACTGTATCTCTGTACTTTTATGTTTGAAATGTATTATTAGGAAGCTGAGCATCTTCCTATGCTTAATTGTCATGGCAACCACTTCTAGCCTTTGTAGCTATTTCTTCTAGCTGTTATTTCCATACAGCTAACTAATAAGCTTACATGGCCATTCACTGATTTATCAGCTTTAGACATTATCTGTCGATTTTTGCTCCAATACATGAGGATTCGGCTCACAGCATCGTCCTTGCAACTCTTTGCCTTTCTACCCTTCCTTCCTTGTCCCCTTATTTATGAAAAGTATTGCTGGCTTTCCATTTATGGTAGTGACATCTTTTTTTCCCCTTTTCCTTTTATTTTTTAAAATAGACTTCATTTTTTTTAGAGAAGTTTTAGGTTCACAGCAAAATTGAGCAGAAAGTACAGAGAGTTCTCACATACTCCCTGCACGCCCTCTCCCCCGCCTAGTTTCCTTCACTACCGACATCCCCCGCCAGAGTGGCACATTTGTTACAATCTACCAACTTCCACTGACACATCATAACCGCCCAAAGTCTATAGTTTACATTAGGGTTCACTCTTGGTGTTGTACTTTCTATGGGTTTGGACAAATGTATAATGACATGTGTCCGCCATTATAATATCATGCAGAATAGTGTCACTGCCCTAAAAATCCTCTGTGTTTTCTGCCCATTCATCCTTTCCTTCCCCCATCCCCTGGCAACCACTGATCTTTTTGTCTTCATGGTTTTGCTTTTTCCAGAATGTCGTATTTTTGGAACTGTACAGTATGTAGCCTTTTCAGATTGGCTTCTTTCACGCAGTAATATGCATTAAAGTTTCTTCCATGTCTTTTCATGGCTTGACAGCTCATTTCTTTTTCTTTTTTAAAATTTTTAATTTAATTAATTTTTTTTTTCAATGAGATGAGGTCTCACTATGTTGCCCAGGCTAGACTCAAACCCCTGGGCTCAAGCAATCCTCCCACCTGAGCCTCCTGAGTAGCTAGGCTCACGGGCGTGTGCCACCACACCTGGCAGCTCATTTCTTTTGAGTGTTGAATAATAGCCCAGTGCCTGGATTTACTACAGTTTATTTATCCACTCACCTACTGAAGGACACCCGAGTTTTGACAATCATTAATAAAGCTACGGTAAACATATGTGCAGGTTTTTGTAGGGGCATAAATTTTCAACTCATTTGGGTAACTACCAAGGAGCATGAATGTCAGATGGTATGGTGAGAGTCTGTTTAGTTTCGTCAGGAACTGCCCAACTGCCTTCCCCAGTGGCTGTCCCATTTCGTACTCCCACCGGCAGTGAATGAGAATTCCTGTTGCTCCACGTCCTCACCAGCGTTAGGATTTGAACTATTCTAATAGGTGTGTAGTGATAGCTCATTGCTGTTTTAATTTGCAATTCTAATGACATGTGACAGTGAGCATCTTTTCATATGCTTATTTGCCACCTGTATGTCTTCTTGATGAGGTATCTATTTAGTTCTTTTGCCCATTTTTTTTTTTTTTTTTTTTTTTTTTTTTTTTGAGACAGAGTCTCGCTTTGTTGCCCAGGCTAGAGTGAGTGCCGTGGCATCAGCCTAGCTCACAGCAACCTCAAACTCCTGGGCTTGAGTGATCCTTCTGCCTCAGCCTCCCTAGTAGCTGGACTACAAGGCATGCGCCACCATGCCCGGCTAATGTATATATATATATCAGTTGGCCAATTAATTCTTTCTATTTATAGTAGAGACGGGGTCTCGCTCTTGCCAGGCTGTTTTGAACTCCTGACCTCGAGCAATCCACCGCCTCGCCTCCAAGAGCTAGGATTACAGGCGTGAGCCACAGCGCCCGGCCTGCCCATTTTTTAAATGAGGTCTTTTGTTTTTTTGTTATTAAGTTCTAAAAGTGCTTTGTATATTTTGGATAGCAGTTCTTTATCAGATGTATGTTTTGCAAATAATTTCTCCCGGTCTACAGCTTGTCTTCTCATTCTCTTGAACGATACAGTTTTTTTTTTTTTTTCAAGAATAAATTTTTTTGGCCGGTCGTGGTAGCTCATGCCTGTAATCCTAGCACTCTGGGAGGCCAAGGCAGGAGGATTGCTCAAGGTCAGGAGTTCGAAACCAGCCTGAGCAAGAGCCAGACCTTGTCTCTACTATAAATAGAAAGAAATTAATTGACCAACTAAGATATATAGAAAAAATTAGCTGGGCACCGTGGCGCATGCCTACAGTCCCAGCTACTCGGGAGGCTGAGGCAGGAGGATTGCTTGAGCCCAGGAGTTTGAGGTTGCTGTGAGCTAGGCTGACGCCACGGCACTCACTCTAGCCTGGGCAACAAAGTGAGACTCTGTCTCAAAAAAAAAAAAAAAAAAGAATAAATCTTTTCAAGTTTAAAAAAATGAATCCATTTAAAGAGACTTATCCAGGAAACAATAGTCAAGGTAATAGGAATATGGCAAAACAAAACAAAACAAAAAAAAAACGAAGGGATATCCAAGGGACTCAGGTTTAGGCGACATTGATGGCACAGAGCCGGATTCCGTGGCTCCTTATCTGGCAATTATTATTTTTTTATATATATTTTTTATTTTAATAGATTTAGGGGGCACAAACTAAATTCTAGTACATGTATATATTGTATAGTCTTACTTGGCAATTATGGCTATTACTTCTATTTAAATAATATTGGCAGTTATGGTTGGCATTATTGCCATTATAATTATAGCATAGTGGTCATTACTGTTATTATTGCTATAACAATACACCATTGTTATCAATCTTAATATGGCATATTGCTTTGATGGCCTCTGTATCTTTCACTATCTCCCGGGAAGGAACCTGGAGGCAGTGCGAACCCTGCGAAGTTGTCAAGTTGTCGCGGTAATTATTGTCACTCTCTTGGCATTTCATCGCCACAGGGATCTGCGCAAAGTTTGGCTAGAACGAAAGGGGTGGACGTCAGTTGGGTGACAGGTAGGAGGTGGGTCTGGGGAGGGGCGGGGAGGGGCGGGCCCTGGAACCTCCGCCCCAACTCCGGGCGGGCGGCGTAGGGTCTGTGCGGGTTGGCGTCGGGTCCCCGGCCTGAGCCCGGCTATGGCCCGCTGTGGCGCGGCGCCGGTCCTGTCCCTGGGGCTGGTCCTGGCCGCGGTGGCCTGGAAGCAGGGGCCGCCAGGCGTGCTCTCGCCCTGGCAGGGCTGCGCCGCGCTGGGCCGCTGCTGCCCAGGGCGAGACGCAGCGTGCTTCGCCCGCGGGCCCCCGCGCTGCTTCTGCGACGAGGCGTGCGGCGCGGCGCGGGACTGCTGCGCGGACTACGCGCGGGCCTGCCCAGGTGCGCCCGGGCGGGGCGGGGCGGGGCGGGCGCTCCGCGGGGCAGAGCGGGCCGGGCGTGGGGCGCCGCGGAGGCGGGAGCGGCGGCCAGGGCGCTCTGCAGTCGGAGGGGCCCGGGCGGGGCGGGCCGGGGGGACGGGCGCGCGTGGCGCGTGGAAGGGAACGCAGGGCGGGCGGGACGTGGGGGGCGCGCGGGCAAGGGGGTGTCGCAGACGCTCAGGACGTGCGGGCAGGAGTGGGCTGTGGAGCTGCGGGCGGAGAGACGCGCGGGGCACGGGCCTGCGCGCAGGGCTTGGGGTTGGGGCGGGGACGCACGCCCGGACGGTGGCGGCGTGTCTGGGAGAAGAGGTTGTTGCGGGGACTGCGCGGGGAACTGGGGGGCGGCGCGAGGGCGAGGGGTTTGGCACAGGTGCAGGAAGGGAAATGGGCGCGTGGGGCCTTGGAGGCGTGTGAGAGCCGAGGGGCGCACGCGGCGAGAGCGGCTCAGGGGGGCTTGGAGGGCTTCGGGGAGGAAGGCGCTCGGGTTGAGATAAGGTGCCAGGTTTAGCAGATAAAGATACTGGACAAACCTGGGCGCGGTGGCTCACGCCTGTAATCCCAGCACTTTGGGAGGCCGAGGCAGGAGGATCGCTTGAGCTCAGGAATTCGAGACTAGCCTGGACAACCTAGTGAGACACCCCCCACCTCCCGCCACCCCCATCCCCAGTCTCTACAAAAAATAAAACAATCAGCCAGTCTCGGTGGCGCGTGCCTGTAGCCCCAGCTACTCAGGGGGCTGAGGCAGGAGGATCGCTTGAGCCCGGAGTTTGAGGTTGCTGTGAGCTATTATTGGGCCGCTGCCCTCCAGTCCCGGCCCCAGCGACAGAGAGAGACTTGTCTCAAAGACAAACAAACAACAACAAAAACACAGGACAGCCAATTACACCTGAATTTCAGATGAACCTCAATTACTTTTGTAGGGTAAGTATGTCCTCAATATTGAATTTATATTTATATTAAAAAGTATTATTTATACTTATATTAAAAATTATTCATAGTTTGAGGATGCCTGATCTAAAAAAATACAAAAGAAAAATGAATTAAAAAAAAATAAAAAAAATTATTGGTTGTTTTTCTGGAATTCAGATCTACCTGGGCGTCCTGTATTTTATCGACAACCCTAGCTGGGGGTGGGCGTGGGCACAGAGGGCTGGCGGGAGGCTGCCTTGCGGGCACAGGGGTCACAGGCAGCCGGAGAGGACGTTGAGGAACCCAGGGAAGGGCAGCCCTGGAGAGGGTGTGGGTGCAGGGGGGAGGAGGGCACAGGCCACGTGATTCCGGAGAGTGCAGAACTAGGAGGAGGGGAGCAGGTTAAAACTCCAGCAGGTGGATGGGAGGCAGAGGGTCCCGGTAAAGTCCCTCTGTGGTGCCCGTGCCAGCCAGGGCCACCGGATGCATACGAGCTTTCCTCCTAAGTCCCCGCCAGAGTGCTGCCCCAAGGCTTGAGATCAGGGGCTGTTGTAGTTGAGTCACTAGTAGGGAGGACTCTGTCCATTTTAAATCCCAAAAGTACATTTTTCATACCCAATGGAGACACAAATCTAAATTCTGTCACCTTGTAAAGTGGGTATGACCCAACTTTCCAATATCGGGGAGGAACATGATCTCAGGGTAGCCCTGTACACTTCTAGGCCGCTGGAGCCCCCTTCAGGAGTTTATGCGTAAAAGAGAGGGCTGGGTGCTGTGGCTCGCACCAGTTGGGAGGCCAAGGTGGGAGGATCACTTGAGGCCAGGAGCTCAAAACCAGCCTGAGCAACATAGTGAGACGACCCACCATCTCTATTTTAACAACATAATTTGTTTTTTTAAGAGAAAGACAGCACTTTTTGAAAAATTCAAAATGGGAAGGATCTAACATACATTTATCCATTTTGTACCCGGAGCTGGGCTGGGTGTCCCATTGAGCCTAAATACATTCTCACAACCCTCTGGGGGCCAGGTGTATGTTTACCAGGGGAGGAAAGCCGGTCCCCAAGAGAGGGCTGGGCTTTGGCCAGCCGGGGCGGTGCAGCCGGTGGTGGAGCTGGGTCTCATCCCGTGTCTTTTGGCTTCTTGCCGCTTCCCAGGAGTGGCGGGTGCCGGAATCCAGGCAGCAGTGAGACGAAAAAGTAATTTTGGGTGTGGTGTCTTCTCAAATCATAGCGGATGAGACCTGGCTCCAGATTACACTTGGGGAAGGGCTGTCTTGGGAACGCTTTTGTACCCGTCTGCTTTGCGTGTGCAGCGCGCGCACAGTCGTGGGGTTGGTGGGGCCACAGTCCCGGGTTTAGTGCCACACGCAGGGGTCCCTGCCACAGTGCAGGAGTGGGGTGGGGCGGGGCGGCAGGCAGACCAGGCAGACCAGGCAAGGGGATCAGGGACACTTTCCCACAGTCTGACCCACCCCACAGAACCACACGATGTTATCAGCTCCCCTGAATTTTCCTTCCTATAAAGAGCTGGGGCTGGGGGGCGGGGGCAGGGAAAGTCTCACATCTTTGCCTTCCCCTTTGTTTTGCCCTTTTGTGATGCCCGTTTGTCTGGGTTGGGCAGAGCCAGGGGTGTTGTGAATAGACCCAGAGAAAAGTCTCCTTTGCACCTCCCAGGGGGGCAAGCAAGAGGCTGACTGGGGACCAAGAGGTGGACGGAAGTATTTGCTCTCTTCACGAGTGATTTAGGAGGTGAAGTCGACTGCCCTAAGTAATCGATTGTAGTAGAGGGAGATGCTGAGGATGACTTAAACAAAAAACCCACAAAACAACAAACCTAACGTTACTAAATACTTACCAAGTGCCAGGAAGCTACTATTTTAAGTGCTTTAAGTGAATTGTCTCCTTTAAGCCCCAACAACCCTATGGAATAGTATTTATCTTGTCCATTTTATAGGCGAGGAACGAAGGCACAGAGAGGTTAAGTGACCTGCTCCGTGTTGCACAGCCGTCACACGTCAGATCTGGGATTCGAAGCCCAAGAGTCTGGCTCCAGACATCAATACCGTGTGGTTGCTCCAGGGTGGGAGAGACTCAGGCATGTTAGGAGAGGGAAGCTTGAGTCTGCAGGTGAAAGAGGCCTCGACATCTCCCACGTTTGGTTCAAGCACCATTGGTGGCCACCTGCTGTGTGCCCAGCTCAGCTAAGAGCTGCGGGGACTGGAAGCAAGGATCAAGTTTTGGTGCCCCTCAAGCTTATCATCTGTTTTTCGGGAGTCAGGGTAGTTGCAAAAGAAATAAATAATTTCAGCCTGAGCAAGATGAAACTTGGAAGTGATTGGTGAGGATCGGGAGGGAGAGGGTGGGGCTGGAGTGACCAGGAAGGCCTTGAAGGACAGATACCATTGCATTTCCCAAGTTCTTTACTGAATGTTTTCATGTATTTTATACTTTTAATTCTCATCACTACCCTGTAAGGATCGATGTCTCCATTTATTGACTTATGTCTTCATCGCGCTAGTTGGGACTCTTAGGGTTGTGACATAACAAATTGACTGAAGCTAACAAGGGAATTTATTGGTTTAGGTAACTGAAAAACAACCCAAGGATTCTGGAGTTTCAGGCATGGCTGGATCCAGGGGCTCCAAGGATGTCATCAAGACTCTATCTCTTTCCATCGTTCAGCTTTGCTTGTGTTAGCTTCGTTCTCAGGCACGCTGTCACCAAGTGGTAGCAAAGATAGTGCCCAGTAGCTTCACACTGGCATCTCTAGTGGGATGAGAGCATCTTTCCCCAGTTGTGCCCGCCTAGGGCTGATTATCCAATCTGTCACTGAGTCCTGGGAGAAGGAATATGTCAACTGGCCATGTCTGGGTCTCGTGCCCCATCCCAGGAATGAGAGGGCAAGGTCAGCCCCATCCAAACCTGGGTGGACTGAGAGTGGGAGGGTTGGTTCCACAAAAGAGACCTGAGGTTGAGCTACCAGCAGACGGGGGCAAGGAGGCTGGGAGGGTACTACTGAGTCGGGAGACCATGTATTTCTGGAGACTTGAAGTAAAAGCAGCTCAGACATTGAATAGGAGGCGGGGGCGTTAGTACGTGACTGTGGATGAGTTGCAGGAAAATCTAGATTTTTAGCCACTAGCATTGGGGGTCTCAATCTACGATCCACTAGCAAAAAAGACCTTTTGTGAACCATCTCAAAAGGGGATGGGAGCCACTGAAGGATTTCAGGTGACAGGCCAGACCTGTATTCTAGAAAACCCTTTTGGTAGACGATGAGCAGGGCAGGTGGTCAGGGGCTGGGCTGTGAGGTTCGGGGAAGAAGGCGAGGCTTGGGGAGCCCAGGAAGGCGTTTCCTGGCCAACCTGGGCCTGTCGGGCTGGGGCGAGCGACTCTAAGGGCACTGTGGGAAACTCGGTCCCGCCCCAGCAGGCGCAGCCGGCTGGATGCTATCTGGGTCCCCAGGGCTCCTCTCCTGCCTCTCTGTTCCGCGGATGAGCCAGACTTTGCCATTTAGTTAGAAAAAGTGAGCCGGGCTTTGTTTTGAGAAACAGCGCCATCTGGTGGTAGCTTTTTGCAATGTCAGCCTGTGGTTGCGTTTCCTTCGTGGTGGCTGAAGCAAGGTTTGCTCCCTGGGCATTCACTGACACAGGTACTTACTGAGTCAACACGTGCCAGGCGCTGTGCTTGGAGACGGGCTTCGGCAGGGAGCAGGGCCGAGGGAGACCCTGTCTCTGCGCTGGCATTCTAGTGGAGGGGCAGACACAGCATGCATAATCACACAGACGTCCCCAGTTTGCGCCCCCCGGCCTGTGGGAGGGGTGATGACTGTTTCCTCTTACAGGCGCGTGCTGCTTGGTGACTGCAGGTGCGGCAACATGGGGAGAACGTGCGCAGGGTGGCGTCTGCCTGGTTCTCTGCAAAATCTGCGTGTTTCTCAAAGCCTGGGGCACTGGTTGAAATTATAACATTACACGTTATTGCTTGTTGTCTGTTTCCTCCACCGAGCCTCGAGGGCGGGGGCTTTACCTGCTTTGCTCCCCTGAGTTCCCGTCACCCGGCCCAGTGCTCTGCACACAGTAGGTCCTAAATAGTTGTCGAAGGAATGCATAGAGACCCCCGTTGTACCGAGCATTTACGGTACACTCTGTGCTTTGCATTTGTCATCACAACGACCCTGTTTTAGACTGCGGTTCGAATCCAGGCTTGGCTGACTCCAAGTCCTTCGTTCGATTTAGGGGTTTTGCCTCTTAAGCCCCAAGTGCCTCATCTGTAAGGTAGGTTTGACGATAGTGCAAACACGTTAGGAGTTGGGGTCCTGGCAGGTGAGAGGTGGTCCCCCAGGAGGGTCTAATGGAAGACAATTTAAGAAGGATTCTATTCACAGAGGTAGGCGCAGCGGTACAGAAGGGCCTGGTGTTATTGGAGCCTGGTGGGAGCAGGATCCGTGGCCAGGGCTCTCCTTCCCTGCAAGTGGGGGCTATAAACACCTTGCTGCACTCTCCTCCCACCTTGATCCCTGCTGGTCCCTGTCCCCCCCATTGGCTCAACTCTACTGGCAGTGGGGGTGGGGCAGGGAGGCGTCCCGGACCACAGCCAGGGCAAGGAAGGACTGAGAGGGGACCGGGGAAAGCACAACCTCGTGAGATCGTTATGAGGATGAAATGGAGCCACATAGTGACTGGCTTGGTTCAGCCCCAGAGACGTGATTGAGTGATTATAAGGTGGACGATGACGCCACCTGATGATTCTTAGGTTGTCAGACTCGATTTCTCCCTCCCTCCCTATTTCCTTTCTTTTTCTTCTTTCCTCCCTTTCGTCCTTCCCTCTTTCTTCCTTCTTCCTTCTTCCCCGCTGAGCATTTCCACTCTGCCAAGGGGGGCAGGTTAAAGGACTATTTTCTCCAAGAAAAAAAATTGTTTAAACCTCTGAGATTTATGCAAAGAATATGGACTTTCCGAGGCACCAGAAGCAACGCTGTTTTCACAGTGCAATAACCCCATTTCCTCTTCACGGTGCACACGCTCTGCCCCACATGTTCATGTAGCGAATGGGGACGTGTCTCGCAGCTGGCGATGTTTGTCCCGAAGACAGACCTCGTCTTGTTCACAAGGCGGCTCCCGCACCCGCGCCCAGGAGACGCTGGCAAACATTCGAGGACCGAGTGGATGAATTCCGACAGCGGCGGCCACCTGTGTGTCCAGGAAATGTGTGTGTCGTGCCGCCGACAAGACCTGCTGGCACAGCCACGGGAAGTGCGCAGATTCTGTTTCTGCCCACGGCCCCACCCGTCTGGTTTGCTCCGGTCCTGACCCGGGACTGTGCGCTTGGAATGAAGACGAGAAGGTCCCGGCGTGACGCCATCAGAAAATACCGCCTGTGCGGCCACACGGAGCACCTTGAGGACAGGGACCCCGCTCCGTGCTTGCAGTACGATGAAATGTTTGAGACATACACCAGTGTGCACGGAGTAGCGCTGCAAGCCCCCGGGACAAGCTGAGAGACAAACCCTGCCAGATGCCACTAGAGCATCTATGTGTCCCTTCTCCTTCCCTCACTCAGCGATAGCCACTGTGCTGATTCCGTTTAGGAGTCCCGTGCTCGTAAGGGTTTGCTTGTGCGTGTGTGTGTGTGTGATTGTGTGTATAAATATGTACAAGTCATTCTTGTGATTCACAGTAGTTATGTGTTTTCTGTTTTTTGAGAGACAGGGTCTTTCTCTGTTGCCCAGGCTGGAGTGCAGTGCCGTGATCACAGCTCACAGCAACCTTAGACTCCTGGGCTCAGGCGATCCTCCTGCCTCAGCTGCCCGAGTAGCTGGGACTACAGGCATGCGCCACCATGCCCGGCTAATATTTTCTATATATTATTTAGTTGTACAGCTAATTTCTATTTTTAGTAGAGATAGGGGTCTCGCTCTTGCTCAGGCTGGTTTCGAACTCCTGACCTTGAGCGATCTTCCCACCTCAGCCTCCCAGAGTGCTAGGATTACAGGCATGAGCCACCACGCTGGCCTACAAAAAATGTTTTTTAAAAAATTAGCTGGGACCTGAGGCATAGAGAGCTGAAATTAGTTGCCCTAAATGCTCAGGAAATGTTTGTTGAAGGACTGAGTGATGGAAACAAGCTAAATGAGCATCAGCAGGATGATGGATAAATGACATGTGGAGTTCTGAGTTTGGGTGGACACAGCAACAGTCGTCAGGGGAACTTTCAGGAAAACAAGGGCTGGGATTTGCAAGAGTTCTAGCCTTCAGTGTGGCGTTTTGGGGGGACACAGCTAGTGGGGAGGGTGGAGGAGTCCTGGCCGCTGGCTGGCAAACCCCACGCCAGCCGCCCCTGGCGACACCACCTTCTCCTCCAGCGGTCGCCTGTGCTGTGGCGGGGTGGAGTGGCTGGAGTCGCTGCGTCAAGCCCTGCCAGGTCTCCTACCGCGTTCGCCAGAGGCACATCCTGCAGGAGCCGAGGAATGGGGGTGTCCCCTGCCCCCCTCTGGAAGAACGGGCTGGCTGCGCGGAGTACTGGAGCCGCCAGGGCGTGGAGTGCCAGCAGTCCCTGCGTGAGTAGAGGTGGCCCCAGGAGCGGCACTCGGGGGACAGTCTGGCTGGGCTAAAGGCCCCTCTGTGAGTTCCCGGTGGGGCCTGAGCTTGGGGTGGGGCTTGGCCTTCCTTCACCAAGATCCCTCTCCTCACCTTGTGCGTGAGTTAAGAAGCTCTGACTCCCGATGGGCTTCTCAACGTCATCTTTCTGCTCCCCTCTCTGTGCGAATCAGGCAGGACTTGGTTTGAATGCAGGTGATAGGAAACCCAAACTAAGCTGACCTGAGCAAAAATGTGTGGCTCATGTGACTAAAATTCCAGGATTTGCATTCAGGCATGGCTGGATCCAGGAGCTCAAGCAGTGTTGCCTAGGAATCTCTTTCCATGTCTTAGCTCTGTTTTCCTCTGGTTGGCCCCATTCTCTGGCAGGCTTTCCCCTGTGATAGTCTCTGATAGCTCCCGGCTTCCTTCCAATCCACATAGCAGCCGGAAGGGAAGGTCTCTTTCCCCATGGTTCCAGCCAGTGTCTCAGGATAAAGTCTCATTGGCTTGACCTGGGTCATGTGTCCACTGCTGCACCAATCAGTACGGCCGGGGTGGTGGACTCCTCTGACGGCCGAGCCTGGGGCGCTGCGCAGAGTTCACTTCATCCCCTGGAGAGGATCCTCGGTAGCCCTCGAACCCCTCTGCCAGGCCTGTGCTGGGACGGGGGGTACAGCAATGAACAGCACAGACAAGATGGCAGAATTGGAGCTGGGGGTCTAGGGGGTCTGCAGCTCACCAGCCATGTGGTCATGGACAAGTTCCACAACCTCCCTGAGCCTCAGTTTCCCCTTCAGTAGAATATGAATGGTAAGTTGCCTCATAGGGTCGGATGAGTCCCCGATGTGAACGGGGGATGTTGGTAAAGGGCCCGCACAAGGCAGGCACAAGGCAGTCGCTTGACAGTGTGAGCTGCTGTCGTGCAGCTATAGTTCTCATAGGGCGGTGAAGGGACAAGCACCAAAGAGTGCAGGCGAGATGGCTCTGAAAGCAGGTAGGTACAAGGGAGCAGTCGCGAAGACCCAGGGCCTCGTGGCTGGAACAGAGAGCAAGGGAAGTAATTAGCTGCCGCTTGGTGAGCACTTACTGTGTTCCAGGTGCAAATCGTGTATCATCTTATTAAATTCTGACCGTAACTCCACGATGCAGGTGCTAATATTATCCCCATTTTGCTGATGAGGCTCAGAGAGGTGCAGACACTTAACCAAGGCCGCTCAGCTATAAGGGGGGAGCTGGGACTAGACCCTGGGCTTAGCTGGGGTCTCCTGACCACTTTAGGCTGCACTAAAGGAGCACTGTGGGCCGGGCGCGGTGGCTCACGCCTGTAATCCTAGCTCTCTGGGAGGCCGAGGCGGGCGGATTGCTCAAGGTCAGGAGTTCAAAACCAGCCTGAGCAAGAGCGAGACCCCGTCTCTACTATAAATAGAAAGAAACTAATTGGCCAACTGATATATATAAAAAAAAAAATTAGCCGGGCATGGTGGCGCATGCCTGTAGTCCCAGCTACTCGGGAGGCTGAGACAGAAGGATCGCTCGAGCCCAGGAGTTTGAGGTTGCTGTGAGCTAGGCTGACGCCACGGCACTCACTCTAGCCTGGGTAACAAAGCGAGACTCTGTCTCAAAAAAAAAAAAAAAAAAAAAAAAAAAAAAAAAGGAGCACTGTGGCTATGGGAAGAGACAAGGGAAGGAGGCTGGGTATTCGGTGTGTTATGACAAAGGCTTAGTCCTGTCCCTGTGGTAGAAGCAGGGACAGGGGGCTGGGATGCCCTGGTGTGGTCTCCTTTAGGTCACAAGCATTAGCTCAACACTAAATCTTTATTCAGCTCAATCACTCTAGGAATGGGAAGGGTAGAGACTTCCGATGGCTTTTTAATTTTCCTAAGATCACCAACCTTTGTGAACTATCAATTTTCCTCCTCTATGTTCTCTGATCTAGAAAGAAAGAGACTTGGAATGTGGCCCAATAGAATAATTTTATTCATTCATTTATTCATCGTCAGTCCATCCCCAAACCTCCTTTCTTCCACCATCCATCTTTTCCATCCACTCACTCATCAATCCATCCATCTATCCATCCATCCATCTATCCATTTCATCCATTCACCTGTCAACTCTCCATCCTCCTTCTTCCATTCATCATCTCTCTGTCCATTCTTCTACTCATCTCTCTCTCCTTCCATCCTCCATCTTCCATTTTCACCATCCATCCATCTCTTTCTTCCATCATTTCAGCCATCCATAGCCATTCTTTAGTTATTGACTCTTTTTTTTTTTTTTTTTGAGACAGGGTCTCACTCTGTCACCAAGGCTGGAGTGCAGTGGTGGACCATAGCTCACTGCAGCTCCAACTCCTGGGCTCCAGGATCCTTCCGCTCAGCCTCCTGAGTAGCTGGGCCTACAGGTGCATGCCCCCTGCCCAGCTCTTATCTACTCTTTCCTAATCACTCACTCATTCATTCACTGAATCATTAAACAGTTGTTTTTGAGACCCGCCATGGACCAGGCGTGCATGTGTTGCATGCACCAGGCCTGAGGTGTTGGAGATAAATAGATCCACCTCCAACACTGTAAAGGATCTGTGGGGACCACCTGCCCAGTTCTGAGATTCCACACAGTCTCATTTGGGCTGTCAAGTAAGTGACTCGGATGCCAGGGGTACCCGGCCTGGTGTCCAATGGTGCCATAGCCTGGGGTGCTGTCCTGCCTAACTGTCTTCTCCTTGGTCCACAGTCCCTGCTCTGTAACCACTGGCAGCTACGGCAAAGAGCGGGGGAAGCGAGGTGTTCCCAGGAAGCAGGCCGCAGGAGGGTAAGTGGAAGCCAGTGAGCCCAAGGTCTAACTGAAATTCATGAGCATTTTTCTCTGAACTAAATTTCCTTTGTTATTGTCTCTCTCTGACTTTGATAACTTCAATTTCTTACCCTGTTACATCTATAATCTCATGAACATGGATTTTAAAGTCCTCAAATATTGGTCTCCATTCAACTTCATTCATTCAACATTATTGAATGCCTACAACAGGACAGGCGCTGTATTGGGCTTGGGGTTACAGCAAGGAAAAAAAAGACAGAAATACTTGCCCTTATTGAATGGACACTCTAGTGGGAGGAGGAATACAACAAACAAATAGATAACATGTTGGATGCTGCTAGGTGCTATAAATAAAAAAAAGAAAATAAAGAAAAATAAAGCAGGGAAGGGATGGGGTGTCAGGACATCCTCACTGGGAAGGTGACAGTTGAACTAAGATCTGGAGGAGGCTCTCTGGGGAAAAGCATGCTGGAAGAGAGAACAGCAAGTGCAAAGGTCCTGAGGCAGGGTGTGCCTAGTGTGTTCGAGGATCGGCAAGGCCAGTGTAGTTGGAGCGCAGAAAGAGTGAGAGAGTAGGAAATGAGGGTCAGAAAGATAATGGAGGTTGGGAGGTGCAGATCACAGAGGGCTGTAGGCTGTGTAAGGAGTTGGCACTTTCTCTAATGACATGGAGAGTCGTGGCAGGATTCTTTTGTTTTTTTTTTTTTTTTGAGACAGAGTCTCACTTGTTGCCCAGGCTAGAGTGAGTGCGTGGCATCAGCCTAGCTCACAGCAACCTCAAACTCCTGGGCTCAAGCAATCCTGCTGCCTCAGCCTTCCGAGTAGCTGGGACTACAGGCATGCACCACCATGCCGGCTAATTTTTTCTATGTATATCAGTTGGCCAATTAATCTTTTCTATTTTTAGTAGAGACGGGTCTCGCTTTTCTCAGGTTGGTTTCGAACTTCTGACCTTGAGCAATCCACCCGCCTGGCCTCCCAGAGTGCTGGATTACAGGCGTGAGCACCGCGCCCGGCCATGGCAGGATGCTGAGCAGAGGAGTGACGGATCTGACTGGTTTTCACAGGCCCCTTCGGATGCTGGGTGGACGAGAAGAGCAGATTGCAGGAAGCAAGGGAGAAGCCGGAGACACAGTGAGGAGGTGACTGCAGTGGTCCAGGTGGGAGGCGAAGGTGTTTGCACCAGGTGGCAGCCTCTTGCCTCTGAAGGCGGGCCTGCAGGACGGGACAGACCAGCACATTGGCAGGGTGGTGGCGATGAGGTCAAGCGTCTAGGATGATGTTGGGCACTGATAGGTACTCAGAAAACATCGGTTGAAAGACAAGGCCCGAACGGAGCCGCGGCAATGGAGAGGGACAGGACAACCATGTGAGTTAGGATCTTCTGATTGCGAGTGGCAGAACCTCAGCTCCAGCTCCTCAAGTGCAAAGGAGATTGTTGGTTTCCATAACTGGGAAGGAAGTTCTGAAACAGGGTCATCTCAAGCATGGCCGGCGCCCAGAGCGCGCCTAATGTTGGGATCTGCTCCTCGTCTCTCTCCATTTCCCTCACTCTCGCCGTGGATTGGTTTCATTCTCCAGGTTGGCCACTGCAAGGCTGTGTCCCTGGAGTGGCCAAGATGGTCACCTGGGGATGTTGTGGGAGAGCCAGCCCACAGGCTCACAGCTCAGCAGCCCCAAAGGTGTCCTGTCTCCAGTCTCAGAGCATCATTTCAGGAGGAGACTCTGGTTGTCCTGCCTGGATCCTCAGCCACCCTGAGCCCGTCGTGTCCCCGAAGATGGAGGATCTGATTGGTCAACTCCAATCACCTGCCCACTCTAGTGGCGGCCTGGGGCCAGGACCAGGCACCCTGATCCATTGCCCTCCAAGACTCCTAGGATGAGGGCGAATTCCCCAAATGAACCACCAAAACGGGAAGAGAAATGTGTTGGGAAGACAGAATTTCAGTTGTCACAGGCTCCTGGTAGGGACAGATTCCTGAGGAGTTATGGGGCAGCCCAGAGCGGAGGGGACCGGGCACAGGTTTGGGGCTGTCCCTGGAAGAAGCAGGCTGTGGGCAAATCGGGCTCCCAGAGGCTGCCAGCCGCCAGGGGGCAGCAGGTCCACACGGCGTCACCCCTGCCCTTGACAAGCCGCGGCTCTTCCAGCAGGGTGCTATTTACCGCT